CCTTTAAGAATAACATTTTTTTTAAGTAGATTATAAGATACAATATATTTGAAATTACAACTTTAGAAGAAACTTTTAATTATGGTAAAATTATTGGAAGTAAGAACCATTCTTAATAGTATTCAAAATATTTTATTTGAAAGAAATTTTGAAGGCTTGAATAATAATCAATAATCAAATAATATTTTTGTCATAATATGTGATATTATCTATAGTTGAGTGGACCTATCAACTATGTTAAAAAAAAAACAAAGATAAGTCATGCTTGTGGCATCTTAGACTTTGACAACATGTAATCACTATTCCTTATCCAAATTGTTCTTAGAAGGAGAGAAAATGTTATAAATATCAATATTGATATTAGTCATTAGGAAGATGAAATAAATTTTGGTAAAAATAAAAATAAGTAAACTTGATAATATCATAAAGAGAAGCTATTTAGAAGATTTGAAGATGTAAATTTTACATTACAAGTGTTTGTAGGTGATTAATATGTTGAAAATTTGGCCAACAAGTTAGTCACAAGTTGCATATGTTTTATAGATTGGCAATGTGTCTCATATGTTGGCTATTTATGGTATAAATTGGCCTTGTGGCACACATGTTTCAAACTTATCTTACAAATTAGAGACGTATCTTGTAAGTTGGACATATGTTGAATGATCTATACAATGTTGCCATGTAGATTTTTGATTAGATAGTATATATGGAGGCAAGAATGATATCCTCTTCACTCTTATCAATGTTTTTTTGTATTCTTAACTTAGTTTAAGAATCTCTAGTCTTTTAGTATTTAACAATAGTTATTCTAGTTATTATCTTATATTTATATTTAATTTGTTAAAATAATATAATTAATTTTTTAGAATTATTTTAAGATTCATTTCCTTAAAAATGATCTTTTTATAAATTTCATCTAATTTTTTTAATATATGATGGTAAGATTCAATAGTATTATTGATATCTTGATTGATATAAAGCAAATGTTGCAATCTCACCAATCAAAGATATAATTGTTTTTAAACTTTTGAATAACATTTGTACAATATAAATCAATTAAAACTAATTTTAATATATTTATTTTATTTGACTATTCTTAAAAATATAAAATATCACTATTTTATTTTTTGAACAATCAAATAAATTTTTATTATATTAAAATATATTAAAGTCAATCTAATAAATTAATACTTAATAACATCAAAAAAATTAGAATAATATTTTCGATAGACTTTTGCATAGTAGAGATGTTATAGTTAATGAAGACATTAATTATAGTTTCTTTTGTGCATTAAATAAAGTATTCTTTTCATTCTTTATAGTTGATTTTTTAATTATAATTTGGTGCATTTAATTATAAAACTTACATTTTAAATGTTAAATTTTTATAATATTTAATATCTTTAAGATTCAAGATGTCATCTGTATAATGTTTTCTAAATTTGAATATACTATTAAGAAATATTTCTTATGCTCTTTAAACTCTTATTTTGCCTCAAGACCAATATATAAATTATTCAAATTCTAAGTTTATTAGAAATATGTGGATCAATTTCAATTCTTTTTTTAATAGAAACAATATCCATTGATCCATGTGCAATGTCACTATTTTCTCTAATATGTTCATTGTTACAATGAATTATCTTACCAGTGTGTAGGTACAAGGTCAATTGAAGAATTGCAAATCTTAAAAAATCACTCTCTTTTTTAGACCTTATATAATTAGGAAATTCTTGATTATTGTTTAGCTCATATGCTTAATAACCCCTACCAAAAAGAAGAGAAAAGAAAAGAAACCATATTTTTAAAAAACACAATTAAAACATAATTTAACATAATTAAAAAACAATGATTTCATTGGAAAAATGAAAATAAAATTTATAAAGTGCTTACTAATAAAAAAATTAATTAAGGATGAATAATAATAGAATTTTTTTAATACTAATCTCAATTTCCCAACAAACTTTTGATTCATCTTTCATAATTTGATCAACCAAAAAATCTTGAATACATTTCTACAAAATGCATATTGGAATTGATTATGCATTTGAGTTTCTCCTAGATTCTTTAATAAATATAAAATCTTTATAACAAATAAGTCCAAGGAATTCTTTAAACTTGTAGAATAATTTTATACTTTTTTTTATTGATTTTTATAAAATATTTGTGTATATATATGTATATATATATATAGAAAAAGAAATTAAATACTTTTAAGGATTTTAAACAAGTTATCAAAAACTATTAATACAAAAAGTATACATGATTTTTTTTTAAAAAAATACACAGATAAATCAAAAATCACAAGACAAAAAAAACGTAAAAATATGTATATATATTAAGTTTTTAAGTTGATGGATAAAAAAATAAAAATAAAAAGAAAAAACCACAGAATGAATGTGCAATAAGTAAATTTGATTATAAAGAATATATTTTAGTACAAAAAATATTAATCAAATTAATACCAAAACATCATGCTAAGGATACAAATATAATAATTTTTTTAAAATTACAAACAAAGTTGCATAAATTTTAAGCACAATATAAACAATATATACACATAGACTATACAATTACATTATGTAATAAAGAACAATTTGATTGTAAGAAAATACTACGTCAAGCAAACTTCAAACTTGTTAATGATGAAACAAATAAAACTAGGCTGAAATAAAATGTTTCATTATTTATATACAATGTGTATTATTTTATTTAGTATAAATAATTAATCTGATTTTTAAACAGGTATAATGAATTTTTCTATAAGTAAAAATAATTCAGCTAAACTAAGGATAAATTTCAAACTGTTGTGAATTAAAATTAAAAGGAAAGAAATGATGTTAACAAAATAAAAATAAGAAAAAAAATCACCTAAAAGAATACTTCTTAAAATTAAAAGATTTTTATTATAGAATTACTACAAATACATAATAACAAAATTCGAATCACAATAGGACAGAATTGAATATATGGTATATATAAGAACATAGAAAAATTAGTATATAATTCATAGCAAAATTCCCAAAAACATTCTTTAAACTAAGAAGAATATGCTGAAAGTCAAAGCATGCCAAATAAAGAAATATTGGCAAAAATTACAGAAATTAAAAATTCACATCAGTAGTACTTAAAAGCAAACACAGAAAACCCCTACACATGTACAATTAAAAACTAACAACTATTTCATTAAAGACACCAATATTATACATTGATTACATATTCAACAATAGTGTAATTCATTTTTTATTTTTATTTTTTATTTTTTTTTTGTACTGATTATATCATACAATCAAAATTCACACATACTACAAATTTGTTATTACATGCAAGTTTATTTTTCATGAGGAGATTTCAAGTTAGTAGAATTGAGTACTGTGAATTGTGTTTATTATTTTAAAATAATATTTACTGATAATTTTTTCGAAGTTTTCATTCATAGCTTTTGCAAGTAGGTTGCTATGTGGGTTGCTATGTGGGTTGCTATGTGGGTTGCTATGTGGGTTGCTATGTAGGTTGCTATGTGGGTTGCTATGTAGGTTGCTATTGCGGCTTCTAAGACAAGAAATCAATGCACGGTAGTGTTTTATTTGTTCTTTAACTCGACCAAGGACAGAGGAAATGAAGGGACCTGCCCTGTAAACCATGTCCATGAAATCAGTCAGTCAGTTAGTCCTGTTTTGTATTCCATCTTGTTGCAATTATCTGCTGATTTTTCACATGCCTCACTGTGGGGCAGACAATGCCTAGAATGCATGCCAAACTGGATAATCCAGTATGGCCACTTTACACTTTCATGTAAAACGTGCTTTGCATCAAATCCATTTTGTGCCTTGGTGAGTTGGGGTGGCCACATCACCACACCATATAGGCTGCAGCTTTATCTGAGATTAAAAAAGAATACGGAAAAAATAGCATTAATAACATTAATAATAATAAAACGAAATAAATCTGCTCCACTGATGTGAATGTCGAGTTGCCCAATTGCTGTTGAGAAAAAGAAAAAAAACTGCATGCAGATGAAACTCTTTTTGCAGACCGATTTGCATGTCGAGATGCTAAATTTGCACGCTCATTTGCAAGGTTTTGGGCAAGGTGGGTGCCGGAGCTGTGGGGGTTGATTGAGCCTGCGACAAATCGTCATACCAGAAGAATTAGGGTTTTGCAGGAACTGTGTGGATTGTTCGAGAGTTCAGTGTGGGCGTTGTTGATGGTGCTTGTGATTGTGGGAGCGAGAGAGTCCCTGTTGCACCATTATGAACCATGGTGCTTTCTCACGCTTCTGGTTTAGTGAGGGTTTTTTCATTTTTATTTTTATTCGGGACCGTCTGGTAGATATCGTATAATGCAACCCCACCTGCATTTCTGCCGGGGGGGTCATTCCTTACAATGAAAAGAGGAAAAAGGGGGTTTTATCGGATATAGGCAGAGGGAGTAGTGGCACCATGGAGGTGTGAGGAGCAGCAGGCTTTAGAAAGAGGAGGAAGACAAGGAGAGGAGAGGAGAGGAGGGGGAAAAGGCTATTGAGACTGAGGGAGGCATGTTGCCTCTGCTCGCACGCCATCTCCCAGCACTGGCTGCTTTGTGATCCATTGATCATCCCTTTTGTTCCGTTCTTTGCAAGTGGGTCCAAAGATAGAGATGCCTTTCCTTTGGAATCTGGCCTGCACCCCGATCAGATCACCTCACGTTCGCCCCTCTGCTTCACCCTCATAACCAACCCCACAGATAGCGGGAAGCCGGTGAGTGAGTACGTTGCTGTCTGTCTCTGTCTCTGTCTCTCTGTCTCTGTTTCTCTGTGTCTCTGTGTGACTCCCATTCTTCCTCTTCTCCTTTTTGCGATCCTGTCATCGCCACGGTATGTGAGTGCTGGCTCCATAATTCTGGTTTGGATCCGGCTCTTGTGGCAGCACCCGGGTCAGCCTTGTTTCCACGCGGAATTGGTATGAGTTGTTAGTGGCTCGACCTTGTTGCTGCAGAATTAGCTGGCGAGGTAGGATCTGAGAAAGTGTTTTCTCTTGGATCCTCCTGGAATGGTTGCCATGTCCTTGCTGTTTTGTTACTGATTTTTTTTCAACGTGTGATTTTTTGGAGTGCTGTACTTTGTTTTGTTTTGTTTTGTTTTGTTTGTTTTTAATCTTGGATGCGGAATTTGTGGTTGCGTGTACTTGTCGTTAGCTTCGTTGCTGTTAGTATTTTATATTTAACGGGAGCTACAGTCTTATTCTGTACCCAATTTGGTCTCTTCCTCTTAGCCTTGACATGTACGTCACCGTGGCAGTTGATTTCATATGTCTGCCTGTGGGTTTCGTGTGTTGTGCGGTCTGTATGGTGGATTTGTGGATTGGGCTGTCTTCTATGCGTCTGCCAGAAAGTTTCTTGACGAGTTGTTGGAAAAGTCCCATCATTGAGTATCTGCTTTCGGTCACTGTTCTTGGTATCGATCTTCTGAACTCTGCGTGCAACTTTTAGCAGTTGTCTGGCTGTTTGTTGCGATGGTTTCTTGGTTTTAGAAATCTCCGCTGATTTGGTGAACGATGAAGTTTTGCTACTTCGCTTTTGGAAGCTGTGAAAGGTGTAGCAATGTGATGGCTTCCCTTGTTTCGTCAGCGTGCCTGACGTCGAGCGCAAAGTCTCACATCATTGCTTGGTATTCGTTCTGACAAAACATGCGAAACTCTGTGTAGGTATACCACAGCACGGGTTGCATTAACAGCCTCCTCCCCTTCCTGTACCCGCGGTCGTTTTTGGCTAAGGACTAGATCGGACAAGCGAAGATGGCAACACCCGCCACAGCCATGAGCTTGTTACACAGCCATACCATGGTGGGATTCCATCGGAGCAAGCACGGACCCTGCACTTTCAGTTCCGCACGTAACTCGCTCTTGAGAACCGCAGTTTTGGGTGGCGGCATGGTCAGTCGGTGTGCGCCTCCTCTTGTTCCCGCCAAATCAACAAGCTCAAGATCTTCCACGAGACGAAACTCGAGCATGTCTTTCAACAATGGAAGCATGGCGGAGAATTTCAGTGAAAATGATGAGGATTACGCTGATTCTACAATCGTGGAAGCTCTGGAAGTTAAGAGCGGGCCTGATGGCTTCATCATCAAGATGCGGGACGGGAACTTGGTCAAGTGTGTGCACAATAAACCAGCCGAGAGAGGCAAACTCCCCGTCTATGCTCCGCAACCGGCCATCGTCCTACAATTGAACGATGGCTCTAACCTTATGCTCCCCATTATTGTGCTTGAGCTACCCAGCATAATGCTCCTGGAGGCTGTAAGAAATGTAAATATTTCCCGCCCGACTGTATACCAAGTCATGAGCAAGATGTTGGAAGTGTCGGGATACAAAGCGAAGGTTGTCCGGGTGACCAAGCGTGTCAATGAAGCTTACTTTGCCAGGGTTTATCTCGTCAAGGACGGAGACGAGACCACCACTGTGAGCCTCGACATTCGTCCCTCGGACGCCATCAACCTCGCCGTGCGATGCAACGTCCCCATTCAGGTATGCGCTAATTGACAAGGTGAATAATCTTTAAATCAGTGTGTTGCTTCAAAATGTGCATTTAAGTGGTTGCGGCGCAGTCCCATCAATCTACTCATACATTTCTTCTCTTCTCTTTTCTTTTCTTTTCCATTCAGGTTAACAAGGAGCTAGCTCTAGGGGACGGTGTTCGCGTTGTAAGTGAGCCCGAGAAGCTTCCATCGAGCATCGTCACCAAAAATGGGCAAGTCATAACTGACATGGACAAGGCACTTGCAGGAGACTGTCAAGATGCCAAAGAGTTCATCATCATCCGAAACATGTATATTGCAGCTGTGGAAGAGAGGTTTATTGATGCAGCTAAGCTGCGAGATGAGCTCCACCAATTCAGGAACAATCAAAGGTGATTGATTGATGAGGTCATCCAATTTGTAGGTTGAGTATTAGATCTGGCAGACGACCAATTGATGAAGCCTGAATTGTGGCTTTATAGTTCTCGTTTGATAGCATACATCAAGTCCCTGGATAATGTGCTCCACGCCGTATTAACCTCCCTTGCTCTTGAGCGTGGCGTTTGCTCAAGCAACATCAATCATGTACAAACATGGGTATTCTTCACCGACGGAGCTGCTAAGCTTGCCAAGGCCAGGCAGAATCAAGCTTCATTGTATACGGCAGCCCGCCATGCTTCTTCAACGCTATGCCGTCTTCTCCACCTTAAGGATCTTATTCATCATCCTGCTCAACTTATCTGCTGAGTCAACTTGCTGTGCTCAATTGCAGTCTAGAATAGAGTCTTAGGCTTTACCTGTACATATGTTACATAGACTAAATCCACTCAGATTATTAGACCTGCCGTTATAAGAGCCTCGGGTACAGCGAGTAAGATGTGGGGCCTTTCAGATCATCATTGTCTATAGTAAATAGTGTAAATCTTATGGGGGCTTGTGTATGTTTCACTGCAAGGTAGTCATCCGTAGATTTGTTGCAAGTGCTCATCTGAATTGATCACTTCCACGCATGTGTTGATTTGCCACTATTTTACAGAGAGCTCTAGGGGGAGTTCGGTCAAATTGAAGTCTCGAAAAGTGAGGCGTTATTTGGACACAATAGTACTATTCTTATTTGCATTTTTTCATGTGATGGCAGCTATACGACATTCTACATGGAAACAGAGTCTCTTTTGTCTCCTTTACCCCCTAGTTCATTTTCAAGGTGGATAATTGGTGTGTGCAAAGTTGAAAAATGTGCACATCTCTAGCGGAAACCGTGAGCTACTTCTTGTTATGCTCCAGTTTTTGAAATGCTGCTCCTTACCTTGAACCTTTAGTTCATTCAATCATTGAAGGTTGATCAAAAGAAGTAGCTTTACAACGTGCAGGTTTATGAAAGTTTAACTTTGTTAATTTGTATTTCTTCGTTGGTACACATATACGAAGACTATCTGTACCAACAAAGAATTAATGTTACAGGTGGGACATATTTTTCATTGTACAAGCAGGCACATATGTTCAAACTGTGGCCCACGTGACAGATTCCTTGACACAATATCCATGTTCCAGGTGCTAAGTTTCACTGTAATTGATTTCAGCCTTAGAATAACTCGAAATTTCAGCGTTAAGAAATCTTATGCATGAGTAATTAAGGTTCAGAAACTTTCAAGAGACAAGATGATAAGAACTTAATATAATTTAGTTATATCAATTTTAGAGAGTGAAAATCCATAGAATATGGAATTGTCTTGATAAAAAACTGAAATAATACATATAATTTACAGCTTAAAATGTATTATTCACATATACCATACTTGCATACAAAAAAAGAAGTTTTAAAAGTTCATGTATTTTGATTTTAGTTGTTTAAAATATATGCCACATTTAACTACTTTTGAATTGAGCCAACTCCAAAAATTGTAATATATATATATATATATATATATATATATAACAATATAGCCTCTATAATTTAAAAAAAAAATTATAATCTTAAATGTTTCTATAAAAACTTCATAATACTATAATTATCTTTGCAGATTTTCTAATGTAACACTAGATCAACCACTTCTATAACAATTGGTATTTATGCCCCTAATATTAGAAGATCCATCAATACTTACTTAGAATAGTCAAAGTTTACAAATCTTTTTTATTAGCTATTACTAAATTCATAAGGTTTTATTTATTTATTTATTTATTTTTAATATCTCACATAAGAATTTTACAACTTTTAGGATTTTTTTCTTCAACTATGAAATATATAACATGTTCTTAAGGCTCTTCAGAATTAGAACTTGCTTTTCAAGGGCCTACATTACATCCCAACAATCCTTGTATTTTTTTGTAGGGACTTGTGCAAAGTTCTTGGCTTTCTAGAATTAGATTGAAAAAAAAAAAATCAGAATAATTTACATTTGGAATGTCTCTACATATGGTAGATAAGGTCCTTCCAAGCCATATATGGTAGATTTTTGGATTTGATGGTCTAAATAGAAGCCAAGATCTTTCTTTAATATCTCTCTATGAATTGAAAGCTTGTTATGGCCTTTAATTAAGTGGTCTACAATATGACTTAAGTTCTTTGTTTTCTTGAGTATTGACAAAAGCTCATGTATTTGCTAGTTGCAAAATGTTATTGGGTTGAATCCTCTTCCAATTACAAGAAGATTAAAAGCCTTCTTGTAATTTAGGTGATATAATAGATAAACCCTTGTTTGTAATACTTCCAAAATCTTAGCAAATACTTTGTTCTTAATTATCCTATATTTTCAAAACTTTATATACTTATGAATTTTGGTTTTGATGAATGATTGTTTTTCAAGTACATTCCTACCCTTTTTTTTGTACATTTATCTTATTTTTAATAGATAAAAAAACCTCCTCTTTTTATACATGCTTTTAATGAAATTGGATTTGGATCATCTATTGAAATTTGATGGAAACTATTTGTATCTTTCTTCTAAAGGAGTACTAGTGGTTTATTTTGAGAAAGTCAAACATCATCACCACCTAATTCTTTGTACTTCATAACTAGCCATCTATTTAAAACTACATATAAATTAAAATTGATAAATCTCTCTAAGACCAATGAGTTGTACTACATCATTACATTTGTATCTATGAACATAAGATTTGAAGTTTACTACCTTTTGTACAAACTCAAGCTTGAAGCTCAATTCTTAGTACAATATAAAAGACTTCATATAATCTAAAAGAAAAAATATATTTCTACTCTTTGAACGCTTTGAAAGATAACTAAAAAAGACATCAATATCTTTAAATATATGCCCAACTAAGTAAAATCCAACTTAAATTTCTTTGAACACTTCACAATACATAAGCAAAGAAAAGAATGCCATTAAGTACTAATTCTTGTTATCCTTAGCAAAGTTTTTAAGCTAGAAGAAAAATATTATAGAAAATAGAAGTTATGTGATCAAAAGTTCTTCAAGCACAAACAAAAAAATCTCGAGGAATCTAGATTTTTCTTATAACATTGTTTTAAAATTTATTTAAAGATAAAAAAAATATCAATAATTTTAAATTATTTGTCTTTTAAGTCTTTGTAATAACCTTGCAATAGATGATATTGTATAATTTAAATGCCTTGGCCAATAGTCAATAAAGTGATGCACATATGTTTTATTACTATCCTAAAAAGTGACCACACTTACAATATTAGTTAAAAGCTAAGTAAGTCTTGTATTGTATTTGGTGGTGATATGTATATATAGAATGGTAGTTTTGGCAATGTCTATTATGTCATGAATGATGCGAATGAATTTTATTTTATTTTATTTATTTATTTATTTTTAACTATAATAGATTATATGGCATGGGCTTTGGTGGCTAAAGTTGGCAGTACTCTATTATACAAATAAAATATATTTTTTAGTAATTTTGGTGATTTTGTAATATATTGCTAAAATAAATTACATATTATATACTCAACAAACAAACTATTGATTGGTTTAATAGCTAAATTATTAAGCAACTCTTTTTTAATCTTATTTACTTCAACTTAAAAAACTAATTATAAATCTTAAGGTAGATTTATCTATAATTAATATATACATATTTAGCATTATAATTAAATAAAAAATCTATCAATATATTGAGTAATAACAACCAATTTTAATATTTTATTGCAAAGACTAACTTCAAAAAATATGAATTAATATGTATAATTTAGATAATAAATTGCTTTGAGTAATACATATGAAAAAAATAATATATTGATATCAATGTCAATGCTCTGTAATAGAGAGTAAATTTGCAAAATATATACTTCTATTAGAATTTGGTATCTTACTATTTACTAAAGAATATAAAACAAAGTAAGAAATAATAAACCTATTAAAAGACCTTTTACTGCTTCTTTCTTAAATCCATTTGATTATTTTAATCTTTGATAATAAATTAAAAGATAAAATGAAAAAAAATTCAAAGGAGTTAGATTAATTCTTCTAAAGCATTGACTTGTATTTTTTTTAATTATGATAAAGTAAAATTTTATTTCACATTTAAGAAGAAATAAGATCTATATTATCTTTGATAATAGCAAGGATAGTATCCATTGCTTGAATTATATCAAACATAGATCATTTCATTCTTTTATTTCTATAGATTGATGTATCATGGATACATATATATATATATATATATCAATTGTAATCATTACCTAGATAGGTAGAATTAGGTAAAAGTAGATTAATTTCATAATATCTTCTAGAAAAGCTCTCTAGAAACTTCCTAGATGCTATTTTGACTTTACATATGTTTGTAGTTGATTGATAGGTTAAAAACTTGGTCAATAAGCTATCAATGTGCCACATATATTGGAAGCTTGAGGAACAAGCTAACTATATGGCATCCATCTAGAAAACTTGCCTTTCAAGTTAAGATATGTGTCATGCAAAGTCAATACGTTTTTAGAGGTCCTATAGAACGTCGCAACATAGATCCTAGGTAGATAGTATATATAGGGATAAGAGTGAAGCCTTCTTTACTCTTATCAATTCTTTTCTTGCTTTTAGTCCAAATTCAAGAGTTTTTAGTTTCTTTGTCTTTTGGCAATAGCCATTCCAGTTTCCTTTTGATATACATATTATTTTAATTCTATTTTGCCACTTTTCTTTTTATACAAATTTTTCAAGTTTATACATCTTCTTTGAGTTCATATCCTTGACATGATGATAGGATTTCTTGTTGATATATACTTAATTATGAAAAGAATGTAAAAGATGGTATCTATCAATATGGACTATTTAATTTAAACACACTAACAATTAGTGTAACTACTAACATATAGAAATTTGATTTGTTAATTAATATAGTAGCTTAGTAGATCATAGCAGCATAATTAATTATTCAACTATGTATTGACTACCATCTAAATTATAAGTATTCAACTATCTATTATTATATATTATCTAACAAGAAATATCTATAAAATATGAATATTTTTTAATAATTTAATATTTAATTTATCATCTTTATATATATATATATATATATATATATATAATAGAACCTCTCTAAATTGATAGTACTAAGACCAAGTATTATGATTTGACTTTGGTCTTTCACATTGTCAAAGATTAAGATGATTTTTCTTTTTTTTGATAAAGAATTATTCAAACATTCCTTTAGCTTCTTTTAAATCTTTTGAATTTTTTTTTCTTTAATTTTTTCTATAATGTTACAAGAGGTTTTATAACAATTACCATTATTTTCAATGCACTCAACAAAGCATGAGACATCATACATGTGATTCACATTATCTAATGCAATCTTTGATATTGTATTATTGCCTATTCTATCCATTCTAACAAGACACAATACTTTCATTTTACTTGCAAAAAGTTGTTAAATTATTGATATACATTTTTGTCCACCAAATACTACTTTTTCTTACATATTATCCTGAAATTAAAAATTAAACCATAAATTAATAATAAACAAATGTAAAAATGGATACATAATACATATATTACATATTAAATTAGTTTTTTAAATTTAAGATTATATAAAAAAAATCTAACCTTAATTATAATATACAAGTATATATATAAAGAAATGAAATAAAATCAATAAAATCTATTTAAGACATTTCTACTTCATAGTTTACTATATTTTTTAGTAGTTAAAATCTAC